AGGTCGTGCTTTGCATAATCTGACAAAAAGGAAAACAATTCAAGCCACTTACCCTCAGACAATTTTAGACTGAAATTTTATGTATTTGTTTTTAAGGTAGCACATTGGCATTGTTCAAAACTTGAAGGAACCAATAAAGTTTACAGTGAACGCCAGCCATTCCTGACTTTCGAGGCTGCCGGTAATGCAGCTCCATGGGGGTCTCTCCAGAGATGGTTTCTTCTGTCCACAAGCAAAAGGGGGAAGATGTTTTTCCTTCCTGTTTATTTTTATTTTTAGTCAGGATCTCACTCTGTTATGCTGGCTGGAGGGCAGTGGTGTGATCATGGCTTACTGCAGCCTCAGCATCCTGGGCTCAGACGATCCTCTCACCTCAGCTTCCCAAGTAGCTGGGACTACAGGTGCATACCACCACACCCAGCTCATTTCTTGAATTTCTTTGTAGAGACAGGGTTTCACTGTGTTGCCCAGGTTGACCTCGAACTCCTGGGCTCAGGCAATCCTCCCACCTTGGCCTCCCAAAATGCTGCGATAACAGGCGTGAGCCACTGCACCTGGCCCATAAAGAGCTTTCTAACTATTTTTGTGGCTGAATAGTATCCCATTTCTTGTGCTGTAGTTTACGTAGCTAGTTCCTTGTTGCTGGGCGCTTAGGTCATTTTAATCTTGTGTTTCTGACACACAATGCAGGCACGAATATACGCCATTTCACAGGCCTGTGAGGGGCTGGGCTTTACAACCTTGGTAGACCATGCCACACTGCCCCATGGATAGAAGGCTCAACTCAAGCCTGCACTGAGGAGGTGGTTCAGGGAACGGGGCTCCAGTTCATGTTGGTAACTTTAAAAAAGTGAAAGAAAGAAAAACTTTCTTTCCATAACTTAGAGTTCTAGAGAGACTGCAGGGCCTTCATCTCCCAGGTGTCAAGGACATAAGCCAGTGTGGCCCCAAACTAGACCTTCCTGGCCTCCGCCCCTGGCCTCCACAATGCTCTGAGAGTAAATAAAATAAGCCCCCAATGAGAACAGCAGTGCGACTCCTGCTCACTTGAGATGGACGGGCGATGGTGTTTGGTAAATTATGGGGGTGGGTGTGTGTTTGTCTGAGACAGGGTCTCACTCTGTCATCCAGCCTGGAGTGCAGTGGTATGATCACTGTACACTGCAGCCTTGAACTTTTGGGCTCAGGTGATCCTCCCAACTCAACCTCCCGAGTATCTGGGACTACAGGTGCATTAAAAAATTTTTTTAAATTTGTTTTGTAGAGATGAGGTCTCATTTTGTTGCCCAGGCTGGGCTCAAACTCCTGGACTCAAGCAATCCTCTTGCCTCAGCCTCTCAAAGCACCAGAATTATAGGCATGAGCCACCATACCAGGTTAAATTATGTTTTTTATTGACTTTCTTATTTTAAAGCAAATCCCAGACACATGTCACTTGACCTTGACATATTTCATTATGCATCTCTAGATAACTACATCATTTTTTCAGGTAACTGTAGTCTTACTCCCACTACTAATGACGAGCACAGAGAGCAGGAGCCCCTCGGGATTATCTACTGTCCATCTATAGAACTACATTTTCCTGATCGACTCAGAGCATATGTAGAATTGCTTTCTTCAACATGATATCTGGTCAGAGCACTCAAGCCACATTCTGTGGCTCCATCTATCATCGGGAGTGGCCTCCATCCTGCCTTTTACTCCCTGCCACAGCCTTGCAGAAGACCTGGGTCCTTTGTTCGACAGTGCATCCCACACCGTGTCTTGCTTCCGCGTGGTGTTGTCAGTTTGTCCCCCTGCTCCTGCTTTCTAGAGCTGACCAGGAGTCAGCACCAGAGACTTGATTCGGTTTTCTAAAAATGAGCTGCCTTTTCTCCTCCTGTAAACATCTGCTTTCCAGAGTCGGCAAGCTGAATCCAATCAATGCCGCCTGTGAGTTAGGGGTGGCAGGTCCACACGTGGTCAACTCTGCCGTGGCTCTGCTCAGGGTTTTCATAGACAGTGCTGTCCCACAGAACTTTCTGTGGTGACAGCAGGGTTCCATGTCTGCAGCCTCCACAGCGCAGTCACTGGCCGTAGGTGGCAGTGGACCGCTGAGGTGTGGCTCGTGCGATCAAGGAACTGACTCTTCAATTTAATCTGAAGTTGAATAGCCAGGTGTGGCTGGTGCTTCTGTGCTGTCTGGTGCAGCTGTACTGTCATTTTCAACGACTTGAGACCCAGACCTTCCTGCCGCCCTTGGGGCACAGCTGTTTCTGTTTTAAGAAGAGCTTTCCAAAGTTATGTTCAATTCATTTGGTTAGTGAGATTGACTTTGCCAAGCTGCCACTGGATTTGATGGGCAGCCCAGGTGCCACAGTGAGCCACTGTGTGTACCAGAGCCGCCTGGGCTTGACCCATGCAGAGGATGGAGGGAAGTCAGTGGTCGCCCAGTCCTGGGTGGGGGTGGCTACAGGAAGGAGTTCTATTTGTCAGATGGAGAAGGAGACTCTGGCTAAATGGGACATTCTGAATGTTTTTGGGGGTGTGTGGGCACAGGCACGTGACTGATGCGTAGACATAGACTTTGAAGGACCTTGGCTGCCAGTTTTTTCTTTTCAAGCCATACACCTGATGTAACTGCTGTCCGCAGTGGTAGGGAGGTGGATGTGAATGATCAATCTAGGTGGTTCAAACTGAAAAAACGCTGAACACCTCACTTTTCTTTCTTTATTTATTTTTGAGTCAGAGTCTCACTTTGTTGCCCAGACTGGAGTCCAGTGGCACCCTCAGCCACCCCAGCGTCGACCTGCTGGACTCAGGTGATCCTTCTGCCTCAGCCTTCCAAGTAGCTGGAACTGCAGGCGCATGCTACCATGCCTGGCTAGTTTTTATGATATATTGTAGAGATGAGGTCTCACCACATTACCCAGGCTGATCTTGAACCCCTGGGCTCAGGCAGTCTTCTCGCCTTGGCCTCCCAAAGTGCTGGGATTTCAGGCTTGAGCCACCACGCCCAACCTTGAGATGGATTATATGCTGAGCATCTTTCATGGTCCTTATTTGATCCTTATACATATAAGGTGGCATTATTAGCTCCATTTTAGAGATGACATTGGGGCTTAGGGAGGTTAAGTAAGTTGCTAGTTCAACATAGCACGGCTACTAGATGCAAACCCATGCCCAAGCCCCCAACATGTTTCCCAGCACTGTGGCAACAGCCTCCCAGTGGGCTTTCCTACCTGCATCTGAGCCGCAGCCTTGTCACCTTATCACCTGCAGTGACTTCCTCCCTCTCGTCTAGAGCGAAAGGAAGATCTCTACCCAAGCCCACAAGCCCTCTGCCATCCGCCCTGTCACCTCCCTCCCTCACTGTCCCTCCTCTCCGCCGCCATCTGCTTGGGCCCCACTGACCTCCTCCCATCTTAGGGCCTTAGCACTGGCCGGGCCTCTTTTAGCCGTTTTTATTCTATTTTATAGCTGTGGGGTGCATGCGAGTATTCGCTGCATAAGTAAGTTGCATGTGGTGAGGTGTGGGCTTCCAGTGGTCCTCCTATCCCCCTGGGAGCGGACATGGTGCCCAGTGGGTGGTTGTGCGCCCCGTCTCCCCCTTTTTAGCAGTGTCCAGGATTGGTTGTCCCCACCTTTGTGTCCACGTGCCCTGTTTTTAGGGTACACTCATGGTGAGAACACGTGGAGTTTGGTTTTCTGCTTCTGTGGTTGAACTTAGAATGATGGTATTAGAATGAACTTAGAATGATGACCAATTTAGAATGATGGTCTCCAGCTGCATTTGTGTTGTTGCAGAGGACATGATTTTGTTCTTCTTTATAGCTGCATGGAACCAATTCAGATGCCCATTGAAAGTGGACTGGATGAAGAAAATGTGGGCCTCTTTTAAGAACATGTTGTAACCAGGTGTGGTGGCTTTCACCTGTAATCCTAGCACTTTGGGAGGATCCCTTGAGCCTAGAAGTGCAAAACCAGCCTGGGCAATATATCTAGGCCCTTCCTTTACCAAAAATCTTTAAAAAGTACCCAGGAATGGTGGCACACCCGCAGTCCCAGCTACTCAGGAGGCTGAGGTGGGAGGATTGTTTGAACTATGATCTTGCCACAGCATTCCAGCCTGGGTGACAGAGCAGGACCCTGTTTCTAGAAACAACAACAACAAAATGTAATTTGTCCAAGGATCTGAACAACTCACTCCTCACATCCTGCAAGTCTAAATGACTGTCTCCTTCTCATTGAGACCCACCCCGGGCACACGTTCTCGGTCCCTTTTCCCCACTTTATTTTTACCTGTATCACTGATCACCCTCTAATATGTTTCATTTCCTTTCATTGTTAATTGTCTACCATCCCTCCCCTACACACATGCACGAGTGGAAGTTCTTCATGTTCCCCTTCATGTTCGTGGTCACTTTCCAAATACCTGCAACAGTGTTTGACACTAGATGGGTGTTCAGGAGAGGTTTGTTGACTAAAGATGAACCATCAAGTCGTGAGTCTCACATACTCGGGTATGTCTAGTCTCAAAACCACCAAGTCCTGAGTCCCACGTACTCAGGTATGTGCAGTCTCAAAGCCAATGAGTCTTGAGTCCCACATACCCACTTATCTATAGCTCTCAGGCTATCTGGGTTGCTTTACATGTGTGACAATCCGAATGACCACACAGATTTGTAGACTACTTCTCCCAGTTTCCAGTCTCTTGGCACTGAGGAAGCTGTCACTGTGGCTTCTCAAAGGGCCAGATGCTGTCAGGAATTGTGGACAGCAAGCTTCTACATGTGAGAACACTGCCCCAGGTTGGAAGATGGCTTTTCTGTTGGTGTGGCTTTGGTGACCAGCCTTGTGAAGACTGAGACGTGAGAGGGTGATGAGGAGCATGGTGCCTCAGCTAGTGTTTGTAGTGAGGCAGAATGGATGTGGCTTTAGGATCAAGCTACAGGTTTTGCCACCACTAGACAAAATACTGAATATAAATTCTCTTTCTTTTTTTGAAAAAAAAAATACAGGTTGTTCTTGGAGAGAATCTGACTTCCAATTGTCCGGAGGTTATCTATGAAATTAAGGAGGAAACACCTGTTTTCTACAAACTCGTTCCTGACCCAGTGAAAAACATCTACATCTATCTAACGGCTGGGAAGGAGGTAGGTAGAAATACTAGACATGGCTTCTGACTTATGAATACAAATGGTTTAATTGATGTCATTATCTAGTAGCAAAGCTTTTACTTTGAACTACCGTGTTTAAACACTGCTGCAGGCTTCAAGAAGACCCGCAGTGTTCACAGGCCGGAATTAAAAACCCTACTGACTGTCAGTAAGTAAGCAAGAAATATTACCTATTTAGACAATTTTATTATTGACTATATTTCCAGTGCCAGGTTTTTCAGAGGAAGGTGCGCTTGCCAGTAGGCGCATAATCAGTAAGGTAACTGAATTTGCACGATTCTTGTGTGGGCATGGAACGGCTAGACGAATTTATGAGCAACCCCAAGGGGACTGACCTGGGAATTGGAGGTTAATACCAGGCCATGGTCTCATGCACATTCATGAACCAGGAGACATGCGACCTCTCCCCGCCCCCCTTATCTGGCTGTTTTTGGTTTTCTTCTTGCTTCTGTTTACTGAAATAAAAAATAATATATTTTTACATTTTTTACTTTCGCTAAGGGGAGGGGTGAGTCCTGCTGATGGTGTTTTTTGTATGGCCCCTGTCTAGATGCTACGGTTGTGTACACACACACATAAGCATAATAAACAGTGCTAATGAAATGTGCCAAAAATTGATGAGGTTGTTACCCTTGTTTTATATATGAGGAATCTAAGCCATGGAGAGGTTCAATTACTTGCTCAAGGAGATATAGATAGATAGATAGATAGATAGATAGATAGATGAGTCTTTGTAGGGTTGGGACAGAAATTCAACCCTGGTCCGAAAGTCTTGATAAATAAGCTCAAATCCCAAATGCGAGGAATCTGAACAGGACACCCTTGACTGGTAGTTTTCACCCGTGACCATCTGAACATACAAAGTGCAGGGAAGATGCCCAAGAGTCACGTCAGTAAATGTGGATGCAGCCGCCACCCTGACCCTCCCAGGCTTCCATCCTCTCCGTTATCCTTGGAGAGCAGCGGTCACAGCCTTGACCGGTACTTTCGGGGTCACAGGGAAGGTGTACCAGTGGTCTGTAGTTTCTGGAGTTCTCCAAAGGTCATACAGCTCTTCACACATTGAAAAATCAGTTGTGCCAACATGACCACGTGGGAGCATCCACATCTGGGACCCTCTCAGCTCCTCACCCCGCCTAACCTTCTGGTTTCACCATTCAGATGCTTGGTGTCAAGTTTCTTCCCTGGGTTCCCATGCTTGAGAGATTTTTGTCAACTCAACAAACTGCATAGATGAAGTTCCGATTCCCAATATTTATCAAGGACATCTCAAGACTGCCGGATCACTGAGTATGCTGCAAATGGAGCTGGTCCAGTCCCAACCCAAGGCAGAGAGACTTGAAGTCTTGCCTGACCCTTGTGTGCTTTTCCATTCAGCTTCCTGAAATACTGCCAGTAGCTTGTAGGTCCCGTGACTTCCCTCAGGGATAGCAGTGGTACCCCAGAACACAGGCCTCCAGGCCGAGAATCCCTCTGAAAGCCACCTTTGTGGACATGTCCTCACTTCCCGGAGGATGAAGAGTTGCAGTCTCCGATTGCTGAAAGCCTAAAGTCCTGGGGAACATTCTTGACTTGGTGTCAGAGCTGGTTAGTCCTCCATTCTTTACTTAGGATGACTACTACATCCTGGTCATTGACTCTGATTGGGCAAAGGTAACCCCGGGAGATGCAAAACCCAAGGAAGATTCTTTCCTAACAGCCAAACTAATAAACTCTGGAGTCATTATAAAATGGCATACTATGTGGCCACTAAAATAGTCATAAGGAGGTGTATGTGTTGGTGTGGAAGAGTCACCATGGTGTGTTTTTAAACTAGAGAGCAGGTTCAATGCCATACTTACAGTGGCCTTCCTTTTACATAGAGCTACATCTGTGTTTGAATACACTGAGTGGTAGTTCTGGAATGTTCCAAAGACTCATATTCCACTGACTCTCCTGAGCTTCCTTTTACATAGTGCTGCATCTGTGTTTGAATACACTAAGCTGTCATTCTGGAATGTTCTGGAATGAAAGAGGTTCTGTGAGCTGCAAGGAAATGTGTTCTGGTCTTTCTGGCTCAGACTCTGGCCTGCAGGCGGTGTAGGTCCCAGTACAGAGAACTGTGACATGGGAGGGCGTGGTTATCCTTTGTTTTTAAATCAGCCTTCTCTAGTTGGATGATTACTCTTTCTGAACTTAGAACTAAAGGATCCTCCTCAGGATACTCCCTGTTTTCTCCACTAGCCCCTTCTGGAACTATCCGATCTCTAACCCTTGGAGGAAGTGACTTACCCTCTCTGGCATGCACGGCTCCCTGGTATAATGAGTTCCACAAGCTTCCTTACCACCCGCTGTGGACTTTGCCTGCAGAAAGTACAGAGTGGGACACACAGGTCCTCCCGGCTTCCTGTCACCCTGCCTGGAGGCCCTGCCTGGAGGTCCTTCCTGGAGGCCCTGCCTGAAGGCTCTGCCAGGAGGCCTTGCCTGGAGGCCCTGCCTGAAGGCTCCATCTGGAGGCTCTGCCTGGCTTCTTGGTTGCTGGGGCCATCCCAGGACAGTACCTGCCCTGGGCTGCTGCTTCCTGGAGGGGGCAGCTCTAAGGGCAGGAACAGGGACCTAAATTATCCCCATTTCTTTTATTTTTAACTCCAGTGCAGGGGAGTGGGGGTGAGAACTGAGGTGAGGTGTGGCCCCTACAGGGGTGTGGGCAGCCCAGTTCCTGGACCCTCCACTTCCACCCTCAGGACCAACCTCATCCTGACCCTCTGGGACAGAGCTGTTGCTGCTTCCCAATGCCCATGTCCAAGATGCCACTGATCACGTGGGATGGTCACTGTGTGAAAACCAGAGGGGATGGTCCCATGAGCCCCATGGACATCATGAATCGCAGATCAGAAGTCTGGTGGCACATCAGGCACACCTGGGAGAGCTCTTCAAATGTACGTGTCCAGGCATCGCTCCCAAACATGGCGGGGGTCCCTGCTGCAGCGATCTGGGAACATGGGCCTTCAGAAGCCCCAGCCTGCTGGCGTGAGCATGAGATCCTCTGCCCAGGGCTGCATGGAGACTGAGTTCGAGCTGATGGGCAGGGCCCTCGTGGCCTTCCTCAGAGAGGATGCGGTGGCCTTCTGGTGTGGCTTGTGATTGCATCTGAGCCACTGTCCCCTTTGCTTTCAGGTGAGGAGAGTTCGCGTTGCAAACTGCAGCAAACACAAATCCTGTTTGGAGTGCTTAGCCGCCACAGACCCCCACTGCGGGTGGTGCCACTCACTGCAGAGGTACGTCCAGCATTATTCCTCCACTCTCATGTCTTCCAAAAGCGTCTGCCCACGGGCACCTGTTGCCCTCCTGATACCCAGGGACCTGGGGGAACAAAGTCTCCGCGTGTGATCCCAGCAAATTATCCCAGCTGTCTCCAGCCCTGTCGTGCTGCTCAGTCACTGGACCTTGGCTGCTCAGAGCTACCTGGTCCAGGATGGCATTAAGTGTGAGAGTGGGCACGGATGGGTTTGCGTTTACTGTCTGCAGAGCCCCCCAGGACTCAGGAGAAAGGCAAAAGTTTCACCCTGGGAGCAGATAAAAGCAGAGAGATGTTTGAAGATGTTCCAATGGATCCTGTCACGTGGCGGGTCCTGCTGGTGTGGGAGGCCCCTGGATGGTGGATGACGCTGCCTCCCTGCGCCCATGCAGCTGGGCCTGATGTGCAGCTGCCATTGGGTGGGACCTGCCCAGTCTGCCGTCCGTGAGGACGTCCACAACCCTTCCAGGCTCAGGGGCTACCAACTGGTGGTGGCTTCCCGCCACAGCAATTCCTCGCGTCGCTGGGACCAGTCTGGTTGGATCGCCGTTGCCATGGCAACCCAGCACTCGCTGCAGTGGAAGGAAGGAGGAGGGGGAGGGGGAAAGGCCTGGCAGGGCTGTCAGTTTGGTGCTTTCAGTTTTTAAAGGTGAAAAGGAGAAGAGAGCTGGGTGGAGAGATGCTGGAGGCTGAACGGGAGGGGCGGGGACAGGAAGGAGGACCCGGAAGAGGACTGGGAGCTGGGGTGGGGGGTGGGGACCATGAGGGGGGATACAGCGCAGGCCAGAGGCTGGGACGCAGCCCGGCATGGGGTGGATGGCAAGGGGCTCAGGGAGGAGCAGCTTCCCCTCTGGCTTCCTCGACTGGCTGTTCCCGCCCGTCCCTGGCAGACGCAAGGCCACAGTAGCTCATGAGACTGTCATGGGGCAGTCGCCTGCTGCGTGTCCCTGCCAGGACGTGAGTTGACAAAATCCATGAGGCACACGGAGCGTCGCATCATCACACACTCGCCCCGCAGCCTTGCTGGGACCCTTAGAGCTCAATCTGTTCCACTCGTGTGGCGTCCCCAACTTGTGTGATGTCCCAGTCTGTGTGACGGTTCCCCTGTCACAAATGGCAACTCCATTTGTGTTTGTGTGTGTGGCTTCATTCCCAGGGACTTAGGGCCAGTGAGACTGGGGGAGGATGGACCGGAGGCTGGAGGAGAGAAGAGGGAGGAGGGAGGCGGGGGGAGAGAGGAGGGAGATCAGGGGAGAGAAGAAGGCTGGAGAAGAGGGAGACCGAGGAGGGGGGGAGAGGAGGAAGTCCAGGAGAAGAGGAAGGCTGAGGGGAGAGAAGAGGGAGGCCGAGAGAGAGAAGAGGGAGAAGGGAGGCCAGGGAAGAGAGGAGGGAGGTTAGGGGGTAGAGGAGGGAGGCTAGGGGGAGCAAAGAGGGAGGCTGGGGAGACAGGAGCATGGGGGAGGACAGGGAGAGAAGAGGAAGGCTGGGGAGAAAGGAGTGTAGGGGAGGCACGGTTGACTGCTGGGAGCGCTAGGGCCAGCTTGAGGGCTGTGGTCCTGCCTTGGAGGTGAGAGCTTTGCTTTCCTCAAGCTGGTTCAGCCCTGGTGATGTAGACACAGAGCCGGCCAGTCAGCTGTAGATGGTTCTGGGATTTGCCAGAAAAGACATCGAGAGGGGAGATGGGCCAGGGAGCCAAGGTTATGTGCAAGGGATGGATGGTGGTGTTGACGTGACACATGTCATGGCGGGTCCTGGGCCCTAAAGAAGGAAGGACGGCCACCAGGAGAGGGGTGTGAAGGATGGTAGGGTCTGTGCTTGACAGGCATTCTGAGTCTAAGACTTGTCAGGGCCAGGCCTGGTGGCTCATGCCTGTCATCCCAGAACTTTGGGAGGCCGAGGAGCTTGAAGCCAGGAGTTCAAGACCAGCCTGGGCAACACAGAAGACCCTGTGTCTACAAAATAATATAAAAATTAGCCAGATGTGGTGGTGGGCACCTATGACCCAGCATAGCAGGAGGATGGCTTGAGGCCAGAAGTTGGACCTGGAGCCTGGGCAACATAGTCAGACCCTTTCCTGTCTCTACCAAAAATAGTAATAATAATTTTTAAAAAACTGGTTGGAGCTGGGGTCTGGGAAGGGCACTTATTGGACTGTGGGGGCTTGAGGTGGAGGCCGGAGGGTGGTGATGTTCGTAATGGCTAGGTCTAGGGTACAGTGGTGTTGCTGAAGTGGGATGGAGGGCAGAGTCACTAGCAGGGAGGGGCTGGGAGCTGAGGAGGTGGCCATAGTCCATCCATGGTCAGTGGTCTGTGTGGAAATGAAAGTCACCAAGGACTCTGCGGGGGACTTGCTGGGGAGAGTGAAGGCTCCATCTTCAAGGGATGAGAACACATGGCAGGGTGGGTGACCTGTGTGACCACGGCACGGGGGCCTGGGTTGGTGCAGGCTGACAGCGTGAGCTTCAGGTGGGGGGAGGGAGCATTGGGAATAGAGAGAATCATCTAGAAGAGGTCACAAGACACACATGGGGACAAGGAGGCAGCTGGCCCTGAGAGGGTAGGGCTACTGTGTCCTGGGACAGCCGGTCTTGGTGAGGTCAAGATGAGAGCAGCCATTAGAAAAGATGTTGGGGCTGTCGCTGATGGTGCTGTGAGTTCAGTCTCCTGTACGAGCCTGCCTGCCTCGTGTCGAGAAGGACAGTCCTTTTAAACTAAGTGGGATCACGTCGGTTCCGGCTTGATAACTTCTGCCTAGAACTCCTGGTTCCTTGTGGCCAGGACCGGTGTGCAGGCAGGTGTGAGTGGCCCCTCTGCTGCTCTTTGACCTCTCATGTTGACTGCTGTTTTGTTTACTGAAGTTAAGTTTATCCTGTCTTAAAAACATGCCAAGTGTGTTCCTACCCCAGGGCCTTTGTGCTTCATAAGACCTTTTCACATCTGGCCTTTTCTTGACCAACTGGTCGGAGAACACCCACCCCTCCCCACCAGGCTGCCCCATCCTTAGGATCCACCCTCACTCACAGTAACAGTGCTGTTTTATTTTCTTTGTGGCCTCCTGCTGTCTGAAGTGACCATATTTTCTACCTCTCCTTTTACTGAAAAGCACTCAATAAACACGAGATCAAGGGAGGAGGTAGACTGAGTGATGGGAGGACCACCAGTGGCAGGTAGCGATGCGTGCCTCCAGGTGTGGTGGAAGGGCGGCCCCTCCCAGCCTGTCAGATCACTTGGTTTCAAACTGGCTCACTTCTGGCCTAAGAGGAAATGAAGTCTTAGGTCTGTGGCTCATGTGACGTTCCCAGCACCATTCAAAATTAGGAATTCTAACGGGGGATGTTTCCTCATAACTGTGGAGCCTCCCACTGTGTTTATTTTAAATGTCACAGATTTATTTAGAAAAATAATGTATTTTCTCTGTTGCGAAGGTTGCGTTTTCTTGCCTACGCGTCTAGAAAGTGGATGGGGGGGCAAAGAAACCATCTCCCCCCACCCCCATCCACTTTGCTGGGACGCTAAGAATAGGCATCCAGGAGAAGCAGATACAGTGCAGTTAGATAAACAATGAGCTGGAAAGAGTCTCGTGTTTTATTGTGGGAACTTCAGCTCCAACCTGTGCTGAATTTGCCTGTGTGGGTGGAAAGTGGATTTGCAGGCCGAATATCCTGGGTTTGGACGCGGCTCCCCAACTCCTCCCATGGTGCAAAGCACAGCACATGTGCTCGGTTACGGGTTTCCACAAAACTGGCAATCCTGAACCTATGCATGCGGGAGGCGCCAACAGTTCATTTGCAAGTGTATTTGGCACACAGAACGCATTTCCCGTAGAAGCAATGTCATAAATTAGGACTGATTTCCAAGCCAGCTACAGAATTCAAATCATTTAATTTCAACAATTATTTGTTGAATACCCACCAAGAGCCCAGCGTGGCAAGTGAGATGCGAGGTGGCAGTGAGGGAGAGCGGACGCCACTCTTGGCTTGAAGGGACTCACGTGCTGGCCAGGGAGGAGGACCAGTCACCAGCCAGCGTTCATTCAGTCAGTCATATATCCAGTTATGAGTATTTGTTAAGCAGCCCAAGATGCCAAGCCCTGCACGCCTCTGTGGAGCTTGCAGTTTAGTGAGGGTGTAAATAAGTATATCTGTCAGGTTTCTGCTCCAGCGATGCTGCATAACAAACAGCCCCACATGCTTAGTGGCTTGCAGGAACTAGTTTATTTCCATTTATTTTTCTTGCTTGGGGATCTGCCTGTCAGCTATGGGGAGGAGCAGGGTCAGTACCGAGTTGCAGGTTAAGTTCAGGTTAGCTTCCCTTATCTCTCATTTGGCATATGTTCTTCTTAAGGTAGATGGCAGGTGCCCAAGAGACCAGACTAAACCAGGCAACACATGAAAGCCTCTGCTCCATCATGTTTACTGACATCCATTAATAAAGCAAGCCACATAGCCAAGCCCTGCGTCCACAGATGCTGCACAGTGACATGGTAGAGGGTGGTGTGGACGTGTCTTCTGTGAACACAAGGGGTAGAAGAGTTGAAAATAGTAATCCACCCCATTGATAAGGAAAGGAGATAGAAGAGGTGGTGTGTCACAAGGGCTGGTAGAGAGGAAGCAGAGGACTACATGGATGCAGAGAACTACATGGATGTAGCCTGAAACATCTAGGCTGGGTGCGGTGGCCCTTGCCTATAATATCAGCACTTTGGGAGGCTGAGGTGGGAGGATCACTTGAGGCCAGGAGTTCCAGACTAGCCTGGGCAACATAGTGAGACTCTGTCTCTACAAGGTGGCCGAAATTGTGCCACTGCACTCCAGCCTGGGTGACAGAGTGAGACTCTGACTCAAAACAAAACAAAAAAGAATGGGCTTTGTTGGAAGGGCCTTGGGGAGCCACTGCAGGGCTTTCATTAGCAGGGGACTAGGTCAAGATGAGTGCCTTGGAACATGCACTCTGGGGTAGGGTGGAGGGGGAGGACCGGGG